GGAGGATGGTCAAAAGTTCCAGGCCATCCTGGGGTAGTTCCAGACCAGCATTAGGTTCCCATCAAAACAACCTGCACAGTTCTCTTGTCTGAGGTATGACGTTGATGAATTTGTGTTCAGCATGCTGCACTGTCATTGATGCCTTTTCAAAACATTTTCTTCATCTGGAGGGAGTCCCACCCACTTACAGTCTCCTAGCTCCCTGTTGTGAGTGCTGGGTCTGTGTGGAACAGTGCCTTGTCTCCTGGTGCAGTTCTGGAGCAATCTCAGGGCTCCACACAGCTCTGGTTTGCTTGTAATCTGTTTTCCTTGTTTTTGAGACAGGGTCTTTCTACATAACCCTGACTGTCCTGGAGCTCACTCTGTAGACCAGGTTGGCCTTGAACTCACAGAGATCCTCCTGCCTCTGCATCCTGACTACTGGGATTAAAGGTGTGCACCACCAACACCCAGCTCAGTTCGGAGGTTTTAGGAGCTGCAGGCTTTTGACACTGGGCTCCACTTGTCTCCCCCATCCACACCACGCAAGTGGCAGGACAGCCTTGGAGTCCCCAGATCTTGGAATCCACCCCAGGATGTCCTTCATTGGCTGTGTGGCCTCAGGAAAACCACATACCCTCTCTCAGAAGGTTTACTTATCAGCAAAAGGCCTCTAGTGACATGAAAGTCCCACCTTCATGTCCACTGTTGATGCTCAAATGTCTAGATCATGTCACAAGTTTCAGGCTTGGGGGCGCAGACTGGAAGTTCCAGGGGCTCAGCAATTAAACAACCCAGTGCCTCCTCTTGGTGGGCAATTGCCCAGGATGGCCAAAAGTGAATAATTAGAGAAAGAAAATTGCAAGGCTCTATGGGGAAATGCTAGGGCAGGAGTGGCCACGGGAAGACATTCAGAAGTGAATGTTGAGAAGGGGCCAATCTGGGGACAAGCAGAAGGTAGCCTGCCCTTGGCACATGCAAAGGAGCTTGGGAATGAATAGTGTGGCTGGAGTGCTGAAAGAGACCAAGTGCCAGGGGTCATAAGGCAAGGGTGAGAGGGCAGGGGTCACAGGCAAGGGTGAGAGGGCAGGGGTCAAAGGCTAGGGTGAGAGGGCAGGGGTCACAGGCAAGGGTGAGAGGGCAGGGGTCAAAGAGGTGCTGGTGCCCATCCTGGAGAGAAGAGATGGCCTTGCTGAAAGTCTAGGATGCAGTCTGATTGAAGTGCCCCCCTTTCTCCTCCTTACCTTCTGTCTCCCTGTGTGTGTGATGCGTATTTGTGTGCATATACTTGCTAGTGCACGCACACACGGAGGTCAGCTGTGCATGCCAGTGTCTCCCTCTATCACTTTCCACCTTTTTTTGTCTCCAAATTAAGATAGGCTGTCTCTACATAGCCCTGGCAGGTCTAGAACTCTCTACATAGGCCGGGCTAGCCTCAAACTCACAACTTACAGAAATCCTACTGCCTCTGCCTTCTGAGTGCTGAGATCCACCTTCATTTTTGACATGGCTTCTCTCCAAACTTAAGTTGAGCTCATTGATCCAGCCAGGCAGAGCAGCCAGTTCCAGAGATCCTCCTGTCAGTCTCCACAGAATTGGGGTTACAGGTGGGTACCACAGTGCTATCCTTCTACATGGGTTTTGGGGATTTGAACTCAGGTCCTTAACCTTGTACAGCAAGCACTTTACTCTCTGAACCATCTCCCCAGCTCCTCCACTTCCTTCCTTCTTAGGTCTCAAGGAGCCCAGGCTGCCCTCAGACTCACGGTGTAGCTGAGGATGACCTTGAACTTCTGATCCTTCTGCCTCCACCTCTTGGGTGCTGGGCTCTCAGTTTGCACCAGCACAGCCAATGTATGTGGTACTGGGGCTGGAACCCAGCGCTGCCTCACCCATCATAGGCAAACATTCTGCCCACTGAGCTGCATCTCAGCTCTGCTCAGCGGTGTTGTCCAGCCACTTCTGGAAGGAACGCTGCAGCCAGTCACAGCCTGTGCCCCCCCCCCCCAGTTACAGCACTTCAGGTGTTCACTCACCAGGCCTCTGGTGGACAGTTGAGTGACACAGCCATCCCTGCATCTATTTGCAGAACTTTCTCCTCTCTCCAGGCTGGAGCTTTGTCCCCATCAAATACATTCCCTATCCTCTCCCTACTGCTGGCACCTGGGTTTCTGTAGAGTTGACATCCTGAACATGTGGCCTGGGACCCACTTATGTCACACAGCATGGAGCCTTTCAGAATTTTCTTTCTTTTTAAAGGCAGAGGAACATTCCACAAGTGTCTGACTGCATTCTGTCTGTTCCGGGATGGAAACTGTGCCCCCTATGGGCCTCAGTGAGTGATGCTGCTGTGAGTCCAGGTGTCTCAGCCTGGGCTGGAGTCCTGCTCTCACTGGCTTGTTCGGTACCCGCTGAAAGTTGTTATGGTTATTCTTTATTTCGGGTCCAATTTTGTGTTCTCAGAGCTGCCACTGTGGTCCTCATGACTGCTACACCATTAAATGTTCACTCCGATGGGTGTTTGACTCCTCTGGGGAAATCTCCAAGGAGACCTCCTTACTCGTGGACCTGAGTTACCTGCAGGACCCGGAGCAGGCAGCAGAAACAGTCTGTTCTTACCACCACCACCCACCTCACCCCACCACTCTTCTTTTGGGGCTCTGACATACTCCAGTCCCCTTCTGTGTGGAAGGAAACAGTTTTCTCACATGTGTTATCCCTAGGCTGAGGCCTCTGATTCCCAGGAGGTAGAGTAACTTTGAATCTAGGAGCTGATCTGTTCCCTCTCTGCATTTGACAGTATGGTGTGTTCTTCCTTTTAGAAGGAGGAAGGCCAGGCAGCTAGACCTGGTACTACTGTGTTGGGGAAGCTGAAACAAATGCCACAGCTTCATTTGGCTGTGGTCCAATGACCTGTGTGGCATGTTCTAGACTCCAGATTCCATCCCTAGCCCTGCAACACACACTCGCGCACACACACACCACCACCACTACCACCACCACCACCACCACCACCACCACCACCACCACCACACACACATAACCAACTAACCTAAAAACAAAACCAAAAAATAACCAACCAAAAAGACAAACAGAAAACAGAAACAAAATATCACCAACCTGGTGGTGGCTTAACCAGCAGGAATGCATTATACCATAGTCTGAAGGCCAGAATTCCAAGGTCATGGAAGTGGGTGAGGCCAGCTCCTTCTAAGGTTTTGAGGCTCTCTTTGCAGTGCCCCCTCAGCTGCTGGGGCTCTGGCAACCTCCAGCCACACAGATGTGGAAGCTTCACCTTGATTTAGCCCCCCAGGTCCACAGACAATTTCACCCTTGGGATGCTCTGAGTAACTTTGTGTGCCTCTCCTATAGGTCTCCTGGATGTGTCCCCTCCACCCCCACCCCTATGACCAAAGCTCTCCATTGGGACCCTTGGCTTGGGCTGGTGTCTTCCCTGAGCCTACATGGCTTCCTGTAAGCAACACACATCTAGTACAAACCCTCTTAGAAAAGGTTGTGTTGTGTTAACCAGGGTCAGGTGGCCAGGATATAAACTAAGCAGGACATGAATGTACTTCTGCCTCCCTCCTAACCCAGGCCTCTGACCAAGGGCAGGGGACAGACCCCTCAAAAGATGGTCAGCTGCAGAAGAGACCCAGACTCCTGTTGGGCCAGTTTAAATAGTAACTAAAGACATTTCCCCATCCTCCCACGCCTCCCCAGGTCTGCTAAGGTGCCTGGCTCATTCTGGGAAAAGTAAGCCCTGCCCCCACTGCCCCCACTGTCTCTCTGGATGCCAGTTCCTCAGGGAACAAGTCTGGGGACTGGGGTGTGCTGAAGGGGGCTGGGATTGCCTCTACTTATGTGGATGCTGGGGGCAGATCCATGACAAGATTCTTGTCAGGAAGACACGCAGCTGAGCCTGTTGCGATCCTGGAGTCCTAGAGGTGGGATAGTAAGGACAAAGGAAGGAAGGGACCTCTGCTTGAAGTGCTTCACCTGCTAAAAATAGTCCTCAGAGAGAGACAACTTCTAGGGTAGGATGCTTCATCTCCATGGCCAACCTGGCTGGGTTTGGAATCACCTGGGAGACACACTTCTGTGCTTGTCTGCGAGGGTTTCCAGAGAGGTTTAACTGAGGGAGACCCACTCTGAATGTGGGGGGCACCATCCCGTGGCCTGAGATCCCAGACTGAATACAAAGGAGGAAGTGAGCTGAGCATCAGCCTTCTTCTCTCTCTGCCCCCTGACTATGGATGAATGGATGTGATGTGACCAGCTGCCTCGAGTCCTGTTGCCATGGCTTCCCCAGCATGATGGACTACACCCTCAAGTCATGAGCCTAAAAGGAGAAAGAGCCAGACACTGCCCGCTTCTGTCTCCCTGTTGAGCCCCTGCCTCCCCCTCTTTGCTCCCTGTTCTGTGGAGATGTGAGCAAGCTGCTGCATACTCCTGTTGCCACAGCCTCCGTCTCTGTCTGCCCTCATTACCACACCTTCCCCTCACCATAAGGGACTGTGTTCTTTAGACTGTGAGGCAAAGAAAACCCTTTTCCCTTATGAAGCTTCTGGGTCAGGTGTTTGGTCACATCAGTAAGGATATTAAAACAAGGGGGGGATTCTAAAACAGAGCAAACCTCTCTTCTTCTCTCGACCCACACAGACTCCACACCGGGGAACACATTTCACATGTGGAGGCCTGGAAGTCAGAAGTCCAAGGTCATTTTGCGTGCATGCCTCACACACACACATCCTCTTGGGAATACACCAACTCTCTTCTACACACACTTGTGTCTATTTGCAAACACAAGAACTCACAAACACATGCACATGCATGCATGCGGCACCTCAGTCCTTTCTCTGTACACAGCCTGCCTGCCATACTGCGGGAAGCCTTCCCTGCCTTCCCCACCCTCAGCAGAATGTCCCAGTCGGAGCCTCAAGGAATCCTCAGCTTGTACCCCAGCTGTTAAATAGCAAGACAGAGAGACACATTTAATGTTTGAATCATAGCCCCTTCGACTGTCCACTGCCTCATGTTAGCCAGGACTGCCTGCCACTGTCTGGGCTCCACCCCAGAGCTTTGGGTCACCCCTGAAATAAAAGCTCCCTCCCATGTAATCCCACATACATCTTGAACTTCCAATCTTCCATGAGCTCTGATTGAAGTCCCTCAGCAGTTGTCACCAAGGACAAGCAAGTTCTTGGTCCCCCAAGCAGCCAACCCAGTGACAAGGGTGGGGAGGTCAGGCCTCCAAGAGACTCCTAGGTGTCTGCAGGGAGTTGACCTCAGAGAGTTCTCAGGGTGGCCACTCAGGCCACAGCCAGTTCACCTGTCTGCAGATGGGTGCCTGGAGTGGCCCTAGGAGACAAGGGTTCCATCTTGCCATGGTCTCCTGGGCTCTGCTTCTTCTGCCGCCGCTGTCTGGGCTGACTGCCCTCTCCTGGGACTTTCGGTTGGCCACTCTGCAGCTGTCGTACCATCTCATGGTCCTTGTGGCCCAGCACTCGGGGCAGGAAGAGGGAGGACTTCTGTGTACGGCGGGTCTTGAAGCCCCTGCGTGGCCGACCCTTGCCATTCACAGACACATACCAAGGTCTCTGGGCACCAGGCTGCCGCCGAGCCCCTGGCCCACTGGGCCCTGTGCGATACAGCCGGGAGGCATACGTATTGTAGCCCAGCTCATGGATCCGCTCCACGAACTCGCACTCTGCATTGTAGCGTTCCTGTTGGACAGAGGCCACAGATAACAGCCATGAAGGCCATGATGTCAACAGTACCGTACCTCTCCAATGTCTCCTGCTTTCCCGGGGCCGCCTGGACCAGCTGTCCACACCTGCCAATGTCTATGCAGCCTGGCCAGCCTACCTTTCCTAAGACTGCCCTGCTCCAAGTGACTTCCCTCCACTAGGCCTCCGATGAGGACAAAGGGCAGTTTCCCCTTTTTGCTGTAGCCTTGCGCTGGGCTCAGTGCTTGGTGTGTGGTAATAGAGCATGATGGAGGTGGATGAATGGGAGTGTTGGTGAGTGACTGGATACGTGGATGGATGGGTAATAGATTGGTAGATGGATGGGTGGATAGATGAATGGAGGGTGAATAGATGGTTGGGTGGGTGGCTAGGTGCATTGGCGGGTGGATGAATGTGTGTGTGGATGGATGGTTGGATGAAGGAGTGGGTGACTAGATAGTTGGGTTTAAGGATGGTAACGGGTGGATGGATGGATGGATGGATGGATGGATGGATGGATGGATGATGGGTTGAGTGGTTAGGTGAGTGGATGAGAGATGTCTGGATGGATAGATGGTTGGGGGGATGGATGGGTACATAGGTAGAAGGATGGATGAGTGGATAGACAGCTGTCTGAGTGGATGGATGGATGGACGGACGGATGGATGGATGGATGATAGACAGTGAGTAGACAGGCTAGAGGGCAGAGAAGCTGCAGGCCAGTCATCCAAACCCAAGGCTGTTGCAGCTCCAAGTGGAAGGTGACGAGGCCTGTGTACAAGGTGCTGCTTCTGGGATTAGGCAGCAGGAGGGGAGGGGAGGTGCATGTTGAAGACAGCAACTCAAGGAACACCCCTGAGGACTTGGAGATGGACTGGATACTGGTGGGTTCTCTGGAACGTTCTACTCCAGCCATCTGGACCCCTGACCTCACCATCCCCTGCTCCCCTGAAGCCAGGAAACCACAGTCATGTCCCCACCCCACCATGCTCTTCCCTGTGGGCAGGAAGATAGGAACTGTCACCAAGCATACCTGAGACCTCACCTCACAGCAGAGTTTCTGGGGGAGGGCCAGGTACATATGTAAAGTCAGCTGAATTCACTCACACTAGAGTGGGACAGGACACAGGATCCAAGGGGTTGGGGACCATTGCTCCGCCAAGGGTGTGTGTCTATCACACCTCAGGAATGTGGAGGCACCAGAGCTCCTGCGGCCAGATGGCCCCAGGGCCTTGTGCATGGAGGCTGATTCAGCTAGGCTGGCCTGGGAGTCCCAGGGAATGTGTCACCCTGCCCTAGAGCTGGGATGACAAGACAACTCTGGGCCAGTGCTGATACACAGGTGCTAAGAACCCACTCAGCTCCTCATGCTTGTGTGGCCAGCACTAGACTGACAGCCGTTCCTCCAGCTCTTCAGTACCCTCCTAAGAGACAGCTCTTACCTTCCCACCCTGACAACAGGCCAAGCACACATCTTTCTCCTTCCACAGATGCAGGGCAGGTTTGCCCTGACCTCCACTCCCTCAACTGTCCAACTATCTTGGGTTGTTTACTTGCATGGAGTTCTGGGACCCTGCTACCATGATCTATCTCCACCATTATAATTCAGAGAAAGAGACCGGCTTCAGACTGGTTGGGTGGGCACTCAGAGCCCAGGGATCCAGACCAGCTTGAGTCTGGCGTGACCTGGGGGCCAAGCAGTCTACCACTCATGTCCCTTCCGGCCCCCAACCAGATGCTCAAACCAGATGGCTATGCCATCAGCACCTGCCCACTAGTGATGGGACTCACCGAAGCATACAGCCGTCCTCTCTTGTTCATGGCTAGGTACCGCCCAGAGAAGAGCCCTTTGATGGCCACCACGCCCACTTCCACTGCAGTAATCTCCAGGATACCTAGAAAGAGTCAGGAAGGGTCCATCACCTGAGCAGAACCTCAGCCTGCATTAACACCCACCCAGCTTAGGAAGCTGGGACAGGACGGCAGCCATGATCAGCAGGTCATGGTGGAGAGGTCGGAAGTCCTGGTAGGAAGAACACATTAAACAGGAGGTAAAGAAGGGGACATTCAGCCACTGTGCCAGAGACCTTAACCCTAACCCTAACCCCAGGTGAAGACACAATGGAGGTGCTCTGCCCCTGCCAGGCACCTTGGGTGCAACAAAGGCAGATCTACTTAGTCTGTATTCCGTGCATTCTTGTGAACTGACTTGCTCTAGCAAGATGAGGCTGAGGACAAGCGACTTGTCCAAGGCCACACATAATAGTTGGGGGCTCCAAACCCCGGGCCAGATGGAGCCCTAGAAGAGGAGGTGTTGGAGATTCCTGGGGAAGTCAGTGCTGAATTCAGCCCAACCATAGTGTTACCCCCACTGGTAGGCAAGGGATCAAATTAGTCCTGAAAAGTAGGCTGGGGCAGAAGTGCCTAGGTGCGGACGGAAGGTGACCGAGGCTCACCTAGGAGTAGGTACAAAAGTTAATAGCCCCCCAGCCCAGATGGCAGAGTAGCCGCCAAGACTGACCATCTGAGAGTTCCATCTCCTGACCCACATGGTGGAAGTAAAGAAACGACTCCAGCAAGTGGTCCAATGAGCTCAACACACACATCGTGGCACAGAAAATAAGTAAAATGTAAAACCAACAACCAAAAACCCCCAGGAGCCTTTCCTGTGAACAGTATAGTGCTTTTGGGAGGGGAGGTCAATATCCCCTGGGATAGTGGGTCGAGGACTCACTCCCTTTCCAGAGAGCACGCCTCTGGCGCCCACCTGGGACCCAGCATAGTCTAGATAGCCGGAACCAATTGAGGTTCTGCCCTTGCCATGGTTTGGAGGGTGCGGTCTCTAGAGCTGGTGCCAGTGGAGAATCCACCTGGATGACCCCAGGGGTGACTGCAAAGGTGCCCCTCCCCTGCATCTGGGGCCGTCCCGGAGCCGCTCTCCAGGCCGGGTAGGTCCCCAGGACGCCCCCGCTTGGCTGCGGCTTTGAAGGAGGAAGCTGCGGTTCTTGCATACGCCCGCGCCCCCCGCTCGGCTTCCTGCGCCCCGGGCGCGGTGAGGTCTGCGCGGCCTTCCTCCCACGCGGCGCGCAACGCTCCCGGCCGAGCTCGGCTCGGGTGTACCGCACCCACGGAGCCAAACCCTGCAGTGCTTGGGAACTGGCGTTGGGTATGATCGAGCCTCGGGCCGTGGGTGCGTGCCAACTGCATCCAAAACACGCGGGGACGCCCTCTGTCCTGTCGCGCGCTTTCCTGCAGGGCTTAGGACTAGGGACAAGCCTGTCTCCGGACGCCGCGTCGCGGAAACCGAGCTCTGTCCAGGGGAGTGTCCTTGGCGCATGGGCTGAGAGCAAGGAGGACGGAAAGAACTGGCCATGCGCCCCGGGGTCGTCAAAACAATAAAGAGGGCGATAAATCCTTGTCCAGAGGCTTTTCACTGAGAAATACAAATGTGGAAGAACCGTGGTCGCCTCCTGCGCAGCCCCTGGCGGAGCGGGATCCGGGCGGGGCATGTCGCTGGGATCCGTAGCTGGGACAGAGGTATAGTCTTCGGACGGACTACAGCTCTGATCCCTCCTGGGACGCCACCACAGGGGACCTTGCCCGCCCGTCTCTCCCGCCCACCCCTGGCCGGACACTCACTGTAGGCGCTGTTCTCCAGGCTGCCGTTCACGCGGCCGCTCGGGTGTAGCTGGAGGTGATACTTGGTGGCGCAGTAGAGCTTGCGGCGCCGGGGCGCCCCGCCGAGGTGCTCGTAGACGCCGCCACGGCCGCCCGCATCGCGCCGCAGCCGCGTCCCGGGCCCCGTTGCGGGCCAGCCGGGTTCTAGCAAGCTGAGCAGCAGAAGCCAGATCAGGCCCATCCCGGCATCGCGCCCGCCTGTGGCGGCGGCTGCGCCAGCGCGGAGCTCACGGAAGGCGCGGCGCTGGGAGCACACTCCCGCGCGCCAGGCCGTGCGGACTGCGACTGGGAGGAGAGAGGGGCACTGGGAAGAGGTGGAGGACAGGGGAGGGATGATGAGAAGGAGGGAGGGGAGACAAGTGGAGATAGGGAGAGAGAGGAGATGGAGAAAGGGACGAGTGGAGACAGAGAAAGCGAGATGCAGAGAGGATGGGGAGAAAGAGGAGAGGGAGGTGGAGAGAGAAGACTTCGAATTTTCACCCAGGAGTGGGGGGAGTGTTCCCTTGGCGCACACAGCTCTGAAGAAAGGGCGCTCGGCAACAAAAGGCGGCCGTGATCCCTGGCGGGGGCGCGGGGCTCAGGCCCGTCGTCGCCTGCTCACAGCGCCCTGACCAGCGCCGTCGGGCAGCAGCTCCTCCGCAGAGCGCCCTGCACCCCCTCCCGTCTCTGAAAGGTCCCCTCCCCGCCCCCGCCCCCAGACCAATTATGCCTCGGAAAATTATAGAGCAAGGCCTAAAGGCAGCCGCCCCAGGCCCTGTCACCCCCTCCCGCCTTACATCAATCCTGGGTGCACAATGGGACCGCGGATGACTGATGTCTGCGCAAACAACTTGCGGGGAAGTCTAGCTGACAAACGCTCATGAAAGGCGGCGCCTAATCGAGAGCGATTGCGGAGGGCGGTGCGTGGGGAAACCGGGTTTGGGTCTGTGCAAGTCTCTGCTTCTCACATGAGCATCTGAGGTGCCCAATCTTGTGGTCCAAGGCTATGTCTTGTAGTTTCCTAACTGACCGGAAGGCAGCAAGTGAAGTTCCTACACCTTGAGCAGGAGTGGTCTGTCTCAGCAGTGATCCAGAGAGGAGACTGGGCAGAAAAGGACCAGGGACAATAGAGTCAGAGGAGCCCTAGAGCCCTGGAGAGATGGAAATGGGGGCTGGGGAAGCAGGTGACAGATCCATTAGAAGAGAAAGAGAAATGAGAGGTGGAGAAATACCTAGATGCTGCTGGAGCAAACTAAGAGAAGCGGGAGAAGATGCCACAAAGGACCCCAACATACTCACCTGGAAGACTGAGTAGGAGTCTAGGTTCAGGGAACAGCTTCCGGGGGCCTGGGCTCTTGACTTCAGTTCCCTATCTGCTAGGGGCCTCAGAGAAGGATTTACCATGATGTCAGAAAAGGTCCCACTCCACTACCGAGGCCTGTGCAGTCCTCTGGCCAGAAACTACCCTCATATAGGTGTTCTTGGATGAGTTACCCAGAGGGCCCAGTAGCCTGGGACACAGCATTGCCTCCTAAGTTGATCCTGAGCTCTGGGAAGAGTCAGGTGGGAGGCCCATTGATGTGAGATGCTGAGGAGTTTTGGGGGACCTCCATGGTACAGAAGCTGTTAATAGCACATACTGGGGCATTTTCAACCCTGAGACCTTACATACAGGGCAGCAGGTCCTCAGTGAGCCCTCTCCAGCATGATGAGTCCCACACAGCTGAGCACCCTCAGTGGTCTCCCAGAACCTCTGTCCTGGCCAGCAGGGTCTCTGCCACAGGGCTGGTTCCTGAGAACCCTTGAGCAGTCTGAGCCACAGAATTGCTATATCCCTGGAGCCAGTCACTGATGGAATCTGCTTTACAGGGGACAGGGACAACTGTCAGGACAGATGGGTAGGCAGGGCAATTTGCCCTATGTCTTTATGACCAGCTCTAGGCTGGCACATGCTGGCTGCCCAACCTCCTAAGGTAGCCCAGAAGAATCAGGAGGGCATCTCCTCCCTGAATGCCTCCAGCACAGCTCCTGGAGCTAGCCACTGCCCTGTGCCTGGACAAGAGGAACCCTGAAGCCAGATGTGCTGGCACTGACCTGCCATGTCAGCACTCATGTGGAAGCAGGATGATCCTGGAGTTCAAGGCTAGTCTCAACCACAAAACAGATTTGAAGCCAGCCTCAGCTTTGAGACCCTGTGTTAAAAACAAACAAACAAGGCTAAGAAAGGGTCTGCAGAGATGGCTCATTGGTTAAGATCACTGGCTGGTCTTGCAGAGGACCTGTGTTCAGTTCCCAGCACCCACATGATGGCTCTTAAATATCTGTAACTCTGGTTCTAAGAGATCTGACACCATCTTCTTGCCTCTGAGAACACCAGGCATATATCTGCTACAAAAACCTACATGTGCCGGGCGGTGGTGGTGTACACCTTTAAACCCAGTACTTGGGAGGCAGAGGCAGGCAGATCTCTGTGAGTTCTAGGCCAGCCTGGTCTATAAGTGCTAGTTCCAGGACAGCCTCCAAAGCCACAGAGAAACCCTGTCTTGAAAAAAAACCAAAAAAAAAAAAAAACCCAAAACCAAACCAAACCAAAAATCAAAACAAAATTAAAAAAAAAAACCACACCCTACATACAAGCAAAAAAATATGGCCATACACATAAAAATAAATAAATCTTAAACACACACACACACACACACACACACACACACATATATACAAAGAGACAAAGAGAGAGTGTGGGGATGCTGGAGGGGCTGGTGTGATGTTTTCCTTTGCTGGTGTCTGGGAGGAGCCAGAGGAATCCCACTGGAGAACCCGGGGCTCAGAACCTCCCTCCTGCTCCACGCCTGAACCCCCACATTTCCTGGTGGGTGTGTCCTTTGCTGTGTCTTCTCTTGGACAGTCCAATCAATGCACTGTAGCTCTCCAGAATACCCTCTTGTTGTGAATGAATGGGCTTGCCTTTCCTTGATGTGTTGACTGGACCATACAGTGTAACCCTGAGACACTGACTTCTTTGGTATATGAAATTCTAAGCCCAGGTCGGAAACTCAGCAGAACAACCCCTACCAAGATTCCTGCCAATGCCACCATCAGTGTGCCACCATAGGGACCTCAGGTGCCTTTGAGAGTAAAGGACTTCAGTGACCCAGCAGATGATCTGGCCCTCCCTGCGGTTCTGGTTGACTTTGGCCTTTTCCTCAATTGTCCCTAAGGCACCCACACTCCTGGCCCAGGGTCTTCCTCTGGGCCCTATTCCAGTGTGCATGGGTCCTTCTACCCACCTTCACCCTATGGTGAAAGGAGCTGCCTTCCACCCTACCCAGACCCCACCCCAGCTCATCCCTGTGATGGAGGCTTGTACCCACTGCTCATACCCCTAGCCTGCTTCCTACAGCCTCTCTTGTTCAGTGAGGTTTTCCTCCACATCTAATCACCTGCCTTCTTGGCCTTGGAAGTCCCCAGACTTCTTGGCCTTAGATGCTGCCCCCCGACCCGCCAGAGGGAGCCTGAGTGTGTGCTGTGCTGGGTCAGAGCTGGGCCTCCATTGCAGTCTCCCTGGGTTGGGCTGAGGCTTTGTCCTTCCTCATACAGAGCAGATCCTAGCAGAGCATGCAGGGGGTAGGGGGCATAATGTGGTAATAGACACCCTGCTAATTGCTTCCAAATGGCCAATTGCAGCTGTTTGACTAATTGGTCTCTTCCAGGCCCCCCTCTCCTAGCCTGGACACCCCCAGACCCGGCCTAAACCTGCTTAGCACCACTTCCAGGGCCTCTGCTCCGGAAACTCCCTTCCTGATCTCTCTGCTAGCTGGCTGGACCTTCACTTCCAGTTCCGACACCTAGAGAGAGAGCTGGGGAGAGGAGGGCCAGGGACAGTACCCTGTGATGTCCCTGGCTTTTGGCCCCAAACTCCCTCTATACTCCATCACCAAAAGCAGAGGAAAAAACCATCCTACTTGTTGGGTGCTGCTAGGGTCACTGTACCCCTGAAATCCTAAAAGCAGCCCACCTCAGCTCAACCAAGTCAGAGGCGAGCTGACTGGCTCAGAAGCACACAGCTGGGAGAGCAGAGTCACCTGTGAGCTTCAACTGGTGGCATCTTCAGTAGACCGGGACTGACTTACGCATCCTTCATTTGAGTCCCTGGATCATTGGCTCTGGTACTCCATGGGTGGTACCCTAAAGCCCAGGCTCCAGCTCAGAGGAGGCCTTCCTGCTTGCTGTGGGAGACCAGGCAGACACTCTCCACAGGTGAAATGGGGCAAAGTGGGAGATGAGGAAGGACTCTGGACCACACAGGGATGCACATGGGCTTTTTCAGCCAGCCCGAGACCACGAATGGCAATGGTGTGTCTTGAGATTCTCCCTGATATGGGCACACACACAGCACAGGTGGGTCCCAAGTCCCACCCCTACCCAGAGCCCTCCCCCCCACATGATCAAGGTGGACTCTCCCACTTCATAAGTAGATAAAGGAACACAGCCAGAACCTCGTCCCAGGCCAATAGGAATCCACCAACTGAGGCGGCTAACCGAGGTGGCTACACTATTGTGGGGCCATCTCTCTTTCTTATTACTAGATAGGGTTTCCCCATGTAACTGCCCTGGAACTCAATTTGTAGATAGGCTGGCCTTGAACTCACAGAGATCTGCTTGCCTCTGCTTCCTGAGTGCTAGGATCAAAGGTGTGTGCCACCACCACCCAGATTAATATGGGGCTCTTAGTACCACATGTCCCAGGAGCTCTGAGTCAACCTGGGGAAGGGGAAGTTCTCCTGCCCCTGCTTGTGCCCAAAAGCAGTAGGGGCTGCTGAATAGAGAGTATCCTTCCCCGACATGTTTAAGAATTTTGGGGTGGTTTCTGCTCCAGGTGTGGAAATGAGAATTTGAGCAACAGGGAGGGGCAAATGGGGGCAAGAGATACCCAGGAAGTAGCTTACAGGGGGCTTCAAGATTCTATCAAATGAGTTTATTTTTCCTTGTAACTTTTTTTTTTTCTCGAGACAGGGTTTCTCTGTGTTGTTTTGGAGGCTGTCGGTCCAGCCTGGCCTCGAACTCACAGAGATCCGCCTGCCTCTGCCTCCCGAGTGCTGGGGTTAAAGGCGTGTGCCACCACCGCCCGGCTTTTCCTTGTAATTTATTTGTATTGTTTCAATACTGAAATACTTTATTGAGATAATTTAACTTAAAATGGAC